CCACTCGATGTCGGCTAACACTATGCCATGCTATTCTGAATGCTCGGGTTTAATGTGCTGATACTACCGATACTGCTGCTGCTGCTACTACTACTACTACTACTACTACTGCTGCTACCGCTACTGCTACTGCTACTGCTACTGCTACTGCTGCTACTACTACTACTACTACTACTACTAGTACTACAAGAACTACTACTACTACTACTACTACTACTACTCCTACTCCTACTCCTACTCCTACTGCTACTGCTACTACTACTACTACGACGACGACAACTACTACTGCTACTCCTGCTGCTGCTGCTACTACTACTACTACTACTACTACTGCTACTTTTACTAACAATACTGATAATACTCCTCTTCTTCCTTTTCCTCCTGCTACTACTACGACGACGACGACCAAACAGCAGTGAAACTTACAAGCAAGATGCTGAACACGGACTGTGTCAAACTGCAGAACGTTGATGGGGTCTGGGACACGCACGGGAGGTCTGAGAGGGTGTAAAGAAGGAGAGAACCATGACAGCAGCTCGCATGGACTATGCTTTCGGGTCTTTTGGGCATGCTGCAGGAATCCCAGCTTTCTCGGGTCGTGGGCATTGGTGCCCTGAGCTTTGAGGGTACTGCAGATTTCACCAAAGCGGCTGGCCAAGTCCACAGAGACAATGACATGAAACCGATGTACTTGTGGACAGCTTGCTAGCTTTTCAGAATTCATGAACTATATACAACGCCCACACCCTCACTACCCATCGATGCACACTTCATGAGACCACTCAAACATCAGCAAGAGCGGGAGTATGTCGCTGATGGCACACCTTAGAGTTACAACCTCTATAAGGCCTCCGAAACCGAGCTCCCACACACCCTCATGAGCCCCAATTCCAATCAAGAGGATGCACCGGCGGCGCGTGCAGCGCAATGATCTTCTGCTTCACTGCCTTGCTTGAGGCATGGTGGCTAGGCCGAGCTCATTTTGGTGGGCTATCTTGTGGAGCAACCAGCCACAGGGAGATGGCAGAATACTAGCCCATGCTAAAACTCGGAAGTGTCCGGCTGTTGTCGGAGAGCGAGGGGCCGGACGCAGAGTTCCAAGAGTAAAGGGCGAATACCCAAGAATGCAACGAAGGTGCCTATTGCGACATCCCCAACATTGCGACAGAGGCGCCGTTATGGGGAGAGAGGGAGAGAGAATGCAGGACAATGAAACACTTGCGCTGACTGTCGCACCTAGGACCTAGGAGCTGAAGAAACACCGGAAACTGGGCAGGCTCTGCATGTGATCAAGAGCCTGGCCGAGTGATTGGGCCGAGCCCTACACACCCGGAACACCACTGCAGCCCCACCGCAACCTAACATATCAATATCGTATCACACACACACACACAGACATATGTACCTACCTGCCTGCCTGCCTGCCTGCCTGCCTGCCTGCCTCCCTACCTACCCACCTACCTACACACATACATATGCATGTATGCTATGTGTGTATACATATGTGTATATATATATATAGGTATACATATATATATAGTATGTATTCAACATATGTAAGATAAAGAAATGAATTTACATATATATATATATATATCACAATGAATTAGTAGCCTAACTTTCGCTTGCAGACGAGCATTCAGCCGCTGGGAATAATCATGTGGCATTCAGAGCCCTGAGAGCTAATTCAAGTTCAGCTAAAGCCTCAACCCACGAGGACTAAGAAGCTGCGAGTTGCTCTCGACTGGGGCTGTGTCTGAAACCAGCCTCGGCCTGAATAAGGGACCCCAATACAGCACAAACCTAGACGCTAAAGATAGAGGATCCTTTGTTACACGGAGCCCTAAGCCCCTAGATTGGTGGGAAGTTTCCCTAATTTTCTGAAACAGCCACGATGTTGAGGATCTGAAGCCTAGACCCCGTGTCTGCCTTCACGGTATCCGTCGGCTGGACGCTGAGTGAGGCAAACTTGCCTTTCTCCGCTCAAGACGCAAAGGGTTTTAGAGGTTTCAGTGCCTCTCAGTCGATGCTTCTTCGGTTCTGAGCTTCGGCACGAACTCAGGGGTTCTGCCATGCAGTTGTCACGGGATGGTGAGACATATTGCGTAAGGGATTGCCGCTGGTGTTGAATCAACCCAACACTCCATGAACCACCAAATGAATGAAGCTAATCTTGCCGGTCTTGGGTTTCTGGCAGTGAGGTATGTACTGGGATATACCCTGATCATGCAATGGTCTGTGGAGGGTTGGTAATCTATTAGCTTTTGGCAAGCAGAATTCCATCTTGTCGGAGGGGGCACATGCGAAAGGTTCAGGGACGCCAGGGTCCCAAGAGGGCTACTTCCGCCCATCTTGCGCCTGCATCTGCGCTGTAGAAGACCTTGATCTGCATGATGTCGCGTTGAAATACACGATGGCCTGCAAAGGGTATCGCCGCCATTGACAGAACTGCTAGTGTTTGTGGTGCTGTGCAGTTGCTCTGGCTAGCAAATTGAATGATGCTGATCCCTCTCTTACTCTTGTCCTGCTTCTTCTTCTTCTGCTTCTTCTCGCTGCTGTTGTTGTTACTGCTGCTGCACCGGTCGTGGTGGTGCAGTTTGCTTATTGCTCCTTCTGCTACACAGTGGCGGTTCAAGGTTGTCCATACCGATCAACAGGATCGCAAGTATGGATAGGTGACCACGGCACTTACTGAAACCAAGACCTGTTGCCGCCGGCACTACTTCCTGTACCGCTACCCCTACAGCAGCACTATTGCGATCAACACTGCAACTTCTACTTCTACGACGAACTGTAACTGTAGATGTTGATATAAATCATGATGATGAAAGTCTATCGCTCGGGCGTGTTCCTCAACCCTCCTCCACCCAAGAGCCTGTTTGCCATCACTTCCCACGCCTTGACCCGCAGCAGATGGCGGGAGCGTCCCGCTGTATGACTCCCCAACGGAGAGTTTCAGAAGTCTGAGCCGTGCCCACGCGTCGGCATGCACAACGTGAGAAGCTGGACTCCGCTCGGAAAGGTAGGCGGGCAGTTGAAAATGCAAGACCTGTCCCCCAAAAGGCCGACGAAGCTGCAAGTATCCGCTCAATCCACTCAAAATCCCGAAAACTGCCGGACAGACAACCCCGGTCCAACCTCGAAACTGCATCAAGTCCCAAATGTTCAACTGCCAAGCCAAACACATGTGATGTAAACGCCTGGAAGACTCTCACCTGGTAAAGCCTGCCTCTGACAGCAAAGATCTTTTTCCAGTCGGTCGCATCTACGGCTCTGCTCTGCCTCACTTCTCATCCTTCGGAACTCAAAGGCTGAAAGGTTCAGAGCACCAAATAACACCGAAGATCTCAAACAGAAAAACACCGTTTAACACCGAGCATCCCAACTTTCTTTGGGAGCTGAACCTTCTTGATCCTCTACAACCTTCGAGTCGGATCCCTGGTTCCAAGGAGCAAAGTGCCCGGTGTCTTGAGCTTGAGCCCCGGTCCTTCTTGATCAGGTAGGTGAGGTGGCACTTGCCACCTTGCCAGCCGCTCTACGTGGACTTGAACAGCCCCTGCTTTCAAACCCTAAACCAAAAACCTAAACCCTAAGCCCTAAACCGAGCTACGTAGGGTTTTCGTTCGCAGGAGCGAGGGCGGTGCGGCTTTAGCACTCCCTGAGGCTTTGGCAGTAGTAGCGGTTGAAGTGCATGGCCATGAAGACCTGAGAGTCAACGACACTGCAGACATAGCTATACTTATCTGGGGTTTGGTGTCATACAGGCCCCTTGGTCCTTGAAAGGGCAACTCCTGCTTGCACCCCGGACATGCCAAGGCATGGACGCCAGGCCCGCAGGTTTCGTGAGGGCACTCACGGCGAAGACGGGTCACCTGACGGAGCATTGCACTGCGCCACGTCGTCTGAAATAAAGCAGGAACCAAGTCAAAGCTCAAGGGAAAAGGCTGTGCACGGGGCCTTCGACCTCTCGACCGCGAGGCAGTGTCCGGAGGCTACCGTCTACGAGAGTATGCGAGAGAGTGGCAGGTGGTCGCATGGCGACTGTCAAGAGCTTCGCAAACAGCTGTCGATGACTTCACATGTGAACTGGTTAGATTTAGATTAGATGAAGTCGACCAGAGAGCTTGAAACCTGCACTGAGGTCAGATGAGCCGACTTCGATAGGCTAAGTTCAGTTTCACTTGGATCAGGGCAGGAGCCGCCGTAGTGAAGCGGCATGTACCGGTACTGGCTAGATGGGTCTGAGGGCAGAGTGGGGTGGCCAGAAGTGAGGCTGAATGACGCAGCCGTTCATGCTACGCTCGTCCGTGAGTGCGTGCCCCTCCTTGTCGTTGGAATCGACCTTGTAGAACTTCAGCACCGCGAGCTTCACCTCACTTGGGAGACGTGCGTGTTCTGAGTAATTTTCGCTTACCGAACGCGGTCTTCTGCACCTTCTTCCTCTTGTGCTTGATCTTCTTCGGCTTGGTGTAGGTCTTCTTTTTGCGCCTGACATATTATCGAATCCAGCTTTGGGGTTGGCGGACAGCTTGCTTCGTATTCTTCTTGGTGTTACTGCCGCTCCAGGATAGTATGAGTTCTCTCTTAAGTCACGAAAGCCCGCAGAACGACATCGTCAGATCGGAGTTTTGCATGCGCCCAAGCATATTGCCAATGTTGCAAAAAACCTGTCATCACTGGGGTCACAAACCAAACAAGAAAGAAGCAGCAATTGAAATCTCGATCTGGCCGAGATTCTTCTTGCCACCACCGCCTGAGTTCAAACACTCCATGGTCTCTACAGGCTGATCGGCGTGATGCCGCCAGACCCTTCAAAAAGCTCTGAGCATGCCTTTTCTTTCGAAGGTCGAAGGTGTTCGTAGGTTCCTAAAGCTGCCACGTATGCCATGGCAGCGTTCTCTAGCTTATCTGCCAAAACCGGTTTCGCCATGAGCGCAAGAACCGTTTCCCAAGCAGCCAAAGAAGCTCCAAATCCTTGCTGGACCCATGCCACCCGACAATACCCTTGCATCTTGTAAATAGACGGGTATGATCGCATGCACGTGAACATGTGTGTATGTGTGTATATTTATGTGTATATATGTATATACACACATGTATGTACATGAAACTGTGACTACACACATGCATATGCCTTGGATACGACCGCGAGCTCGTACCTGCATACTGACATGCACACACGCAAACATGCCTGCATACTCACACCTATACATGCTTCTATGAAGCTTCTATATGACTAGACTAGTCGTACGTATGGACACTCGACACCATGACTTGTGTTACAGCGGATCGTGTGTCCCTCGGCTGCTGCCATTTGGACAGGCATGGCAGTCAAGTGGCACAGTTCGGCGGACAGGAAGAGTGTCGAATCCTCCTCGACGCCGCCTTTGACGAACATGATGATGCATGGGGTTCAATAACGCATGTGGGCTTGCTTTGTGCATTCGTCTTGGAAGGTTCGGGAGCAGCGCCGCCCAAGTAATGCAGAAAGGACGAGGCGGGGCCTGAGATATATATATATATATAGACACACACACACACCCACACACACACAGACACACAGAGACAGATACTTTGTCAGTAGAGCCAACAACAGCTCGGGAGGCTTAAAGTACGGCATGTTCTCCAGCTACCTCGTTGAAGCAAGGGCAGTTTCCGAAAGCAAACAACTGCTCGTTTGCGCTCGAGCGGCACTCGGACAGCAGCACTTCATCCGACAGCGATGAGCCCCCAAAGAGGAGCGAGAGCCTCATTGAGGCAAGCGCTGGATTACGAGGCACTCCAAAGAGACTGCGAGCTCCACCAGCGAGTTGGTGCTTCTTAGGATCGTGTCCTCTGCGGGGCTTAATATCTGTGCTTCAATTACTCTCTTTTCCACATACTACTTCTCGATTTGGGTCCGGCTTCTTCTGAGAAGTCTCAACCCAAAGCGAAGATCCGGTTCGAGCTGAGCGCCGCGCTCCTCAGCGGCTGCCCCGGCGACCTGGACCTTCTACACAAGGACAGCCCCAAAGTACGGGCTATGGAGCTTGGGGGTTTAGGGCTTCGAGACTTTTTGGGGTTTCCGGGGTTTGGGGGAGTTTGGTCTGGGGAGACACAGGGAACCTTCATCGCTTGACAATATGACAGCTTCTTGCAGGCGGCACCAACTGAGTAGCTCTGGCCTTTAAGTTGAAGACTTCTTCCCTGCTCGTCTTTAGCATCTGTAGCTTTTGAAGCGGTTTTACATCGATTGCCTGCAACAGGGTGCCGTTCTTCAGCCCGAGGATTGGAGCTACTGGCAGCGGAGACCCAGCCTTCAGTGCCCCGGCATTGGTGTCAGGGCTGCACTCCACCAGTCGAGTGTCGCCGACAACATCGCGCACGAAGACACGCATGGCCTGGGTTAGTTGAGCACGGCATGAGAATTCGGTCAGGTTCCCCACAAGCCAGCTGCAATGTCAGCAACATCCGTACGGATCTGTGCAGCCTACATCCCGGGATCTCGCGCTCTCCTCCCTACCAAAGTACTTACAAGAAGATTGCGATGTGCTTCATCTTCATCTTGTCTCGCATCCTACGAACCGCACGGCCTTAAACGCTGCGAAGCATCCCTCCCCAAGGGTCTGAAGCAAACCATGGAAGACTTGAACCTCCCTCCAGTTATCCTGCAGCGCATGGTCAAGGATACGTCGAATAGTCTATAGAACTTGCCCTGCACTCTCTGTCTCTCACTGTCTGTACATAGCATGAACTGTGCATGGTCTCTTCACCTGTACAATCGTCGTAAGCCTCCCTGAAAGCTGTAGCACTTGTTCATCTACAGCAACAACCTCGCATCCCAAATTACGCCTTGATGCAGCTGAAGAGCTACCACAGCCTCTGCCCGACTCAAGCGGCACCCGCTGGAATGTTGAGACACCAAAAAATGAGATGAGATGCGAAGTACGAACACAGCATGCTTAGATCAGAGTAGGCCACAGATTTCTTCCCTGGCTCTTCAACCCTAAACCCTAAACTCTAAAAACACCGCCTCCAAGCATCCGACACCTCCGACGTCATGCTCTGCACTTCATTCACCAAAATACGCAAACCGTGGCTTTGTGAGATCGTCTCTGGCTCCTATATAATAAGAAGAAGAATGATAATAATAACAACAATAACAATAATGTAATATATATATATACATTATAACAATAATAATATACTGCAGGTTCAGTGGATGTTTTTTTGCGGGTCGCATGGAGGTTTCTTGCCTAGGAAGCCTGCAGGAAGGAGTTGGATCGTTGGCGGAATAAGAGGATTCTGACGTCAACAACAGATACATGCCAGGAACGGTCTGATCGCACATTGCCTAGATTGGCCCTTGCACGTATAATCTTGCTACCAGGCCCAACATTCACGGTGTCAACCCTACACCTGCAACACTACCGCTACTCCCACTACCACCACCACTACCACTGCTATTTCGACTACTGCTGCTGCTGCTGCTGCTGCTACTACTACTACTACTACTACTACTATTACTACTACTACTCCTCCTACTCCTCCTACTCCTCCTACTCCTCCTCCTGCTCCTCCTCCTCCTCCTCCGCCTACTACTGCTACTACTACTACTACTACTACGACGACTACTGCTACAACTACTCCTGCTGCTGCTGCTATTGCGACTGCGGACAGCACGAATGCATCACTACTGCTGAAGGGCCTGGCCACTTCCAAGAGCTTTGAGGAAGCTCTACAAAAGGGGTAGTCAGAAGGGAGGCAGGGGCATATTACGCCGCAATTCTCAAGGAGGGTTCGAAACAAATTTGGGTGTCCACGACCTTTCTGCAGGCTCTAAACATGGCGTCTCCTGTGGAGATCTTGCAACTTGGAGCCTGCAGTTGCTTGCTTCGCTGCGTCGCTCCGCCCGGTGTCGTACCTATGCAACCGGCAGGGTCCGTTAAAGAAAAAGAGCGGATGCTCCTGTACTTAGCCTCACGCTATCTGTTGAAGACAAAAACTTGGAAAGGGTGCCTGCAACAGGGCTGGCTGGTGTCAAACACTCAGTCGTACACATGCAAGAATGAGCATCGATAGAGCTCTAGGGCACATCACATAATGAGTGGACTGTAGCCAGCTATAGCCCCGCAGATCACCAGCGTCACACATAATGCTTGCCTCGCACACATAAGCTGTGCCCTTCTCGGTTTTTGCAGCCCGCATATTAGCCATGACGAGACTTTGCCTGCTACCGCAGGCCTTCGAACAACAAATGCATGCTGATGCAGTCTGAATAGAACACTCTCGTGGATGACGGTTCACCAGTAGCTGCAGCAGAACACGAGAAGGGCACGGCTCATGCCAAGGAGAGGCCCAAGCACACGGCTTGCTGCAGAATGCATTCGCATTTTTTTCGCTGTACCGATTGAAATTCAGAGCAAGAGAGGCAGGCTGAAGGTTTACAGAGTGGGCAAGGGAGTCTCGCCATGCCTGCTCACAAATCTTGACTGAAACACCACTTACTTTCCCATCCGGGCACAAGCATTCAAACATGAATCTGTTGCCATGTCAACAATTACTAATTAATGCGAGCCGGGCCGTGGTATGGTTTCGATTCCCCGAGCTACGTCATCCAGCCGTACAGGTGAACATCCTTGAATTAGGCTGTCCCGGAGCTCTCGCTTGCGATGTCGTCTGCCTCGCGCCGAGGTTCAATAAACGCATGTAGCATGCGAGGTACACTTTTCATGGCTTGCAAATGTCCCACTCCACGCTATTTGCACCCGGTCGAAGCAAGCAGGTGATGGCAGACATGTCCATAAAATCTCGGCTTTTGGAAGCGGCAAGAGCTGATTTCATGGAAGAGGTGCTTGCCGCAACGGTCCGATCAACAGTGCAAGCTGATTCCGCTTCGGGAAAGCTTCGCAAAAGGGGCACACAACATCGATCCTTGAAGGCCACATCAAAGACGTCGTCGAAATGAGTTGCGAAATGGACCTGATTCGCGGCACTTCGAAGACAGACCGTGCAAGTCGCTGCCCCATTAGGATGAAGGGGAACATCGGCTATTGCTTGGCCAACAAACACTTGGAGCCATGCATGTGGCCTCGTAGCTGGGTCTCCCGACGGTTAAGCCATCGCGCAAGTACTCTGGAAGCTCCTCGAAGTCTCGCCCTCAGTGAGCGAGGGACTGTTCACACTTAGACAGCTATCGACAAGCATACGCAGCAGGAACGCAGCTTGGGGGTTGTCGATACGTCTTGTGTCTGCAGTCAAAATCCGGAATTTCGGTGCACCCACATTTGACTACCGAACATCCTCGAGCCTCGCCGAAGGTTCTCCACTCAGACCATTCATACTCCCCAACAGTTGTCGCAAACATAGCCCCGAGGCATCATGCAGCATGCCGGTACCTGCCGCGGTTTTGCGCATTCAAAACCTGTCTACCCCAATGGGCAGTGCATCTCCTAATCTGGCAACGAAACCACGATTCGAAGTCCCCGATAATTTTGGGCTCCCCATGACATCCAAAGGATGAAAGCTTAGCCCCGACAGTCGTCGCCCGGGCTTTCTAAGCTTCGAGAACCTTCGAGAGTTGGCAGGCATTTGAACCACTATCTTTTGTACGATATTATATACATATATGTGTATATATAATGTATGTATGTATGTATGTATGTATGTATGTATGTATGAATGAATGTATGTATGTGTATATATATGTTCATTATATAATATATATATATATATAATTGTACCTTATATATTATATTTGTTGTATATTATATATTATATATTATATATTGCGGTGACGTCCCCGGCTCCAGGCTTCACTGGGAGCCCCTGCGGTTTGCCTGAGGGAAGACGAGGGTCTTGCAGCCCGCGCGACGGGCTGCAATAGTCTTCTCCTGCACTTTGCAAGGAAACCCTTGTTGCTGTGATCCCGGCACCCTGAACCCAAACTTGCTTCCAGGAAACACAAAATCACAGAAGAGCTTTACAAGCTTGGTCAACGGCGTCTTCCAGCACAGCTTCGTCATAGCTAAGAGCCTGGATATGTACTGAGTTGAAGGTCTCCGGAAACACCCGACTTGCAGCTCCAGTTTGCCGGATTCTGATTTGGCATGGGATCTTGGCCATGTTCCTGACTTTTCGGACCACATATTCTGTGGGCGGGCACTCAGGTCGGATGCACGGTAACGCGGCTGTCTAACACAAACTCGAAAGGCTTGAAGTCTGATCGAAGGCACAATAGAAGAACAGGCTCATGCCAGATGTCCTTAATGCCGCCGACAGCTAAGACTTTGCCATTCAATGAAACCTGGCAACGCAGTCCGAGGCTTCAGAAGCAGATTTACAAGGACCTTCATACTCAGAATAGGCTCTGCGGAATACTATGGCGCGGCGCCTAAGGGTGTGGGACTTCGCTGGATAAGTGACTGGGGAGCTGATGATCACCGTTTGAATTTGTGTTACGTGGCCCTGTGCTGCGGCTGCATTCAAGGCTAGGCTCGTGAGTGGCCCCTTACTAATAACGGTGCCCTCTTTTCCTGATATTCAGTTCTAATAAGGGAGCCATAGAATAGAAAGGGCAAAAGGGTACTGCTCAGGAACCTATCCAAGGTTTCAGGAACAGCAGAACATCAGGCACCACCAACACGCACCCACTTCCATACATCCTGTACCACATAGATCGATTGTTGAGCGGAGCTACGGTATCCCTTCTTCTACGGGCAAGTGAGCTTTTCTGAAGACACTGAAGCCCTGGAGTTTGTTGGGTGCCTCGCCGGTCATGGCAAGGTCAGTCGCGATGGGCTTCCTTTCAGAGAGGGCTCCAGGATCCGTTTCCCAAAGACGCGTCGTGGACGGCATCTAAACGCTACATGTATTCCTGACGCTTTCTTGCGTGGAAACAGGCACCCAGCAGATTCTTATTTGTCCAAGCTCTAAAGACGGCTCCATGAACCTGGTCTCGGTCTTGAAAGCCTAGATATTTATAGGGTTTGCCAGATGAGCAGGAGAAGTCGACATGCCCGGTGCTCCCTGCTCACAGCACAATTTGGCATTAAAGAGGACCGGCAAACCTGACTCGAGGCACCATGCAAGCCTGCATCGCAAACATGAGCCACGACAAGCTTGTTTCGAACCTGAAAATGTTGACCGTTTACAACTTCGCTGACATGTCCAAGAGCAGGCAGGGTGCTCGAGCGCCAAGGACAAAAGAGCCGTGGTCATCGTGACACCAGCCTCAACGTTCCATGCAAGAGCTGAAACATTAGCAACCTCGAGGCTGACGAAGCCCTTAGCCCTTAGCCATAACACCAATGCTCTGCCTCACGAGTGCGCAAATCCCGGTACATCTCGACGCCTGCCCTTCGATTCCCCATGCATTGCTTCAGTCCACAAAGCCTGTAAAGCGCAGGTGTGAGCAACATGAATCGCGGCGTCTAGCCGAGGGGGTTTCCTGAGGAGCGTGCAGATGGGCCGTCTTTGGGCGTAGCACCCTCTGGACAATGGAGGAAGAGCTCATGGTCCTCCGGGGCTCCAGTCTTGGAGAACGGAGTGGACAGTCAATGGCAACTACAGTCAATGGAAGCATGTCCACAAAGGCGGTATACTTGGAGTCAACCGTGATCCTCCACCCCCATGTCCAACTACAGTGCCACATCTCTCCTCGAAGAAGGAACCAGCGCCGCGCGCGGCAAGCTGCCGCCGCGCCACGAGCAGAGCGATGGAGGAGGATTCCTGCAAGACTCTTACAGGATGTTCCGAGTCAGTTGCACATGGGTCTGGCAAGAAACCTTCTGCAGCTCAAAAACAACTTCTCGCCTTCATCACGCTGCCCAGCTGGCCCGTCACGGCCAGTGCCGGTGGAGCTTTCGGGGCCCCTTCAGCCGTGGCACTGCGGCGGGGCAGAGCTGTCGCTTCCTGGGATGTCGTCTTCATTTTAGTCTTCGATAACTAAAGACTTGCAGGGTGTGTAACGATGTACACCTTGAAAAGACAATCAAAAAACCAACATACCAAGCTTCGATATACAGCACAGATCCTCCAAGTGCAGTCCAGGCGAGTCCTGTGAGCCAGTTCTTCACGCAGCTGCTCCGGTGCAAAATCTTTTTTGCTTGGCAACGTTCATGCTAGCAGCGCTGAAGGAGACAGCAGTATGGAGCATTCATTGTTCGATCGATTGTCATGGCATGACATAGCGCACTAACCAACATGATACAACATTCCAGGCTGCAGACATGCCTGTCTGTGGCAGCATGTGAGCACTCTGAGATGGGAACTCTGGAATCTTAGTATCCTCACTATTTGGAACCTGACTACAATTTGAGGAGCCCCTACCAAAAACCTCTGAACCCCCTGCAAAACCGTGGAAAAAAAAACTAAGGCCAGAGTCTTATCATCTGTTTCAATATATGTACATGTACATGCGGGTGTGAGTGTGTGTGTGTGTGTGTATATATATATGTATACGCTTGCTTATATGTGTATGTATGTGTGTGTATATATATATATGTATATATGTCTGTGTGTATATATATATATACATATACACGCATATACATATCTTATAGCGTATCACGATAAATACATTGTAATATGCTGTGATATATGATACAGTGGTTATAACGGGTCATAATACATGGTTCTAACTAGCTCTAACATACATCTTGCAAACCCTTAAATTGAGGAGCCCAGGCAAGCGAGGCTTCGCCTGTGACGGTTCCCGGAGGCAAGGCACCCTCGTAGAGACGATCCGAGGTGAAGACCTGGGTCTCTGAGTACCAGGCTACGCGAGAGACGAGGGATTTGAGGATTTGGACTTTAGGGCTCTAGGGCTTCAGGGCTTTTCGGGCCATTTCAGGGCTTGGATTGAGGAGGAGAGGGATATCTGCAATAATGTCGGCATAGTCTGCATATGTCGCGAGAGGAGGAGTTTGCAAGCACCCTGGAATGCGCATCGTCGTGCAAAATGAGTGTAGGCGGCAAAGAACACCCCACTCCGCAAATCTATACCAATCTCCTCGTACGCACCCGCATGTCGAGCTGTTCAATTTCCAGTGCACGCATCATTGATCTTGGGCAGGGGGCACTGTCAGGTCCAATGGATCTAGGGTTTACGGCTTATGGTTCCCCAGCCCATTACCGTGAAGCCTTCTAGCCAATCCCCTTGTCCAAGCATTCGTTGCAGCCACTGCGGCCGGCTTCCCCACATAGTCACTGAGCGAGCCTCGACACCAAGAGGATCCTTTAAGCAGTCTCACATTGAGTACATGGTCTCTCCACAAACGACGCATATAGAGGATGCGGCACGTTCTTTGTTTAAAACTCTTCACTACACAGTCACAACGCGGGAAAAAATTGGCGTCTATAGTTGCTTTCACATTGGGCCAGACCGGGCAGTCTCGTTGAGGAGCTTGCGGCGCTCGGGCTGAAGCAAAGCAAGCGGATTCTGCTGATTACAAACACATAATATAAAAACATATATATATATATATATGACTCTGTATATAGATATGTGAATTGCATATTGTAAAGTAATATATTGAAACATGTCAATGAATGAAGGCACTGCAGCAGAGAAAGTAACAAAACATGCTGTCTGCAAAAAAACCGGGCTTCGTCCCACAGGGTTTCGGCTCCGGAGTTTGGGCAGATTCAATTTTTGGAAGATTCCTTTCGAAGCCCTGAGACCCCAAGAGTGAACCAACCTCAGGAATCGGAGATCTGTGGGTAGTTCTCTAAGTTAGGGTCCCTTTTTTAGGTCATCACAATAAAGCACCCTCAAAGGGACCCTAATTTAGAGAACTACCATGTGTTTTTTGGTTGCATGTCGCGCTATGAGTACGCAACTTCTGTTTTCTGCCCTGTCCAGCAACATCTTTAGCTATTTTATGCAGAAGTGCATTGGCCTTCTACACACCGTATGCACACACGCATGCAATTCACTTATGTACGTGTATATGTATATATATACACATATATATATATGTATATATTATGGTGTCACTGTATATATGTATATATATACATACACACACATATATAAGTGTATGCGTGTATGTATACATATATGCTCATGTAGGTGTACGCGATACTATTGCTAAAACGGTGTGTTAGAGGCGTCGAGGTTCTCTTCGCAGGAACTTGGAAGACAAGCCAAACCATTTTCGGCTCAGAATTCTTAAGGCCCTTATCTACCAGAAGACCCTGCATAGCAGAAGGCCCTGTGCAACAAAGGCCCTATCTAACCCTCAAGACCCTGTCTAAACACATGTATGTCTGTCTATCTCTCTGTCTAACTATCTACCTGTCTATCTATCTGTCTATCTGTCTATCCATCTATCTAGCTACCTGCCTATCTACGTATCCATATAAACGGTATACGGACATATGATACGATGGGTGTATGCATATAGACACACATGTATGCACATACAGAAGAGGCGGCGAACAACTCGTAAATCGCTATACCCAGAGAAGAAACCTGAAGTACAAATATATATATATGTATATACATACACGTATACATATATATATATACATACATAGAAATATATATATATATATGTATATACACATAATGTATACACATACCGGCAAAACTATGCCCAAGCTATATTCTTGGTATACTCCATACCCTTATGTATACGGATGTATGATACATAGTAAATGCATATGATATATCACAACAGAATAGAATAGAATAGAATAGAATAGAATAGAACATAGCAGAATATGTGTATGAATATCTGCTTATACATACACATGCATACATACATGTGAACATACACATAAACGCATACGTATTTTTCCTGATATTCAGTTTTAATGAGGGAGCCATACAATAGAAAGGGCAAAAGGGTACTACTCAGGAACCTGGTAGCATATATTAGCACGCACACATGTATATGGACATGATGCTCGTGCTTCTTTCTTAACCGCACCTTCATCCACATGCATCTCGATGACCTGATCGTCACCGGCTGCTGCATCAGCTTGGTCCGGGCCTTTCATGGAGGATTGCTGATAGCGAATGCCGTATATTCGCACTCAAGCCTCCGAGCTCAGCAGGTACACCACAAACTTGTAACTGTACGACACGACAATCTGCAAATACACATACATAGAGAGGCAAGACGACTTCTTCATGTACTGCCCAACTACATGCATGCACGTGAAGAACTTGAACACACAATCAACGAACGAAAGGCCACACTTCAATGGTTTAATTGTGTATACAAAAAAGGTTGCTTCTAACCATATATTCTATGTACACACATGCACATGTGCAGGGCACGGTATAGTGTATGCGTACACAGATACACTTACATACATACATACATACATACATACATACATACATACAGATATGTATATGTAAGCATATACCTGCATATGTACACACATACACATGTAGAAGCTTCCGTCTGTTCATGGTCATCAAAGCTCGTCACTCCTATAACATGCCCCAGCGCCCCAAAGGATGAGGGAGTCGCTCTTCTTCTCCTCCAGCTGCTCCACGACCTTCGTGGCCAGCTTGCGGCAGACCCGCTCGATGTGCTTCTGCAGGTTTCGAACCCCAGCCTCCGGAGGGGAGCCGAGGGCGTTTGGCAGAGATGCGGGTAGTTCTCTAATTAGGGTCCCTCTTTAGGCCCCCGAAATAGTACGGCACCCTCCTAGTGTACCTCCAAAAAGGGACGCTGATTTAGAGAGCCACCCATGTAAAGCTGTCAAACCTTTGGAGCGATGAAGCGAGTGGCTCAGGAATCCGGGCCCTGAAGCTTCTTGCAAGTGAGCTTACTGAAGGCAGACAGGGGTTTAGGGCTTAGGGTCTATGGAGTTTATAGGATTTCTAGGGTTTAGGGTTCAGGGCCTATAGGGTTTACGGATTAGGATCCGGCGTCCAGCCCATGAGTTCAAGCCCTCAGGAAACCCAGAAGCATCAAGCCGGCCGGATGCTCTCAGCTCGGTCCTCGCGACAGTACCACCGGATGAGGGACTCAATGGCAGCCTCCTCAATCTCCGCCTCTGCTGCATATTTAAATTTGGGCCCGATGAGTACATCTTGGACATTCCTGGGCTAACAGCTCAAGATAACTTTACCACTCCGTGGTATGACATACTGACTGCGGCGACACGATATGGAAGGCATAGGCATAAGCGAATAGAACTACGTAAGCCTTTTCAAGGTTTTGGATCTCGTGGAGGTTTTTGGGCGCACAAAGCCGGAGATTCGGAGATGCAACACTTCTGCGCCAAGCCTGAAGTGTGGAGCCCTTCTGAAGACCACCCGGACATGGACGCTGTGAGGATCAAGTCCATAGAATCCATACCGGCTGCAGCTTCTTCTTGCTCTCAGAGCTCGCATCTTTTTCGCGCCGGGCTTGCAGCGCTCCTCCGACTCAAACCATCGGAGACAGGAAAGTGAAGCAATGCTTCAACCGGGGGGGCCGCAGACCACTCCAGCCAACTTCGCCGCGCTGGTGCGATCCTCAGCCCTCCCGTCGTGAACATGTGGGAAAACCAACAGGTACTGCGGGCTTAGGGTAATGTAATTAAAGTTTCTTGCCTTTAAAGGCAGAAAAGGAGCCCCAAAGCGTTTACAGCCTTTTTTGGGTGCAATTCACCGATCTGGCTCTGGCCGCGTAGTGCTTCCACCAGGGATAGAAAAGATCAGATTGCTTACCCGTGGGTCTTTTTTAAACTTGCCTTCCCTCTACTTTCCATCCCCAGCGATAGAATAAAGCAATGATTAAACCGCAAAGAATTCTTGATCGTCGAATGTTGGCCCTTTTGGGTCTGCTTCCTTCGGAGCGGGCACAGCTTTGGTTTCGAGCGCAGGCTTCGGTTTCTTCCTGAGTGGGAAGAAAAGACAGATGGCCGCAGCAAGCCAGACTACGCAAACCGCCGTGGGCCAAATAGTATCCTGCGGCGTCCATCTCAAAACGATCCGGACCGGAGCCCATACCAACAGAATGATGAAGAAAATTGCAGGGACCAGGATCATGGCCGTGGTGCACCTGCAAGTATGCTGTGGCTAACATGTCTAGCGCCCATCCCTTGTCTGCATGAACACCGCTCGCCCCCTCCTCAAAAAACAACAGGGCACCTCCTCATCTGGAGTCGCAAACCCATTCGACATAGCGGCAAGGAGAGCCGCACCGACAAGAGGCTGCACAGGCCAACGAGTCCTCAGTGGTCTCTCAATCACATTCTGCCACTGAAAAACCACAGGCAAAAAGCCAGCAGTGGAAACGATGCACACTTCGTGGGATGACCAAAACAGTCGACAAGCTGGAGAGCCCCAGCGCGTGGGAAGTCTGCTGTTGAGCTGAAACAGCCAGCTCCTCACAAACTTCCACAACAAAGTCCATGCTCTGATCTGTCCAGCAAAGGCTCCCCACTCGACCAATTCACGTAACACCCAGGCAAGAAGTGCCATCCCAGACAGCTCCGATGCCGCTGTGAATGACCTGCCGTCACCATGCAGCTGCAAGCCTCTCTCATCCATGTGTCCAAAGAACCTTCTGTCTATGGCAAGTGCTGCCCGCAACATGACAAATTTGCTAAGCAAGGCCCAGACACGATGAGATAGGATCTGCGAGGTACGGCAGGCTGCTAGCAAGCACAGTGTACACAGCGTACCGGATCGGGAGCAGAAACCCACCTGTGCCATATACGAGGCTCCTCGGCAGGTATGTCCGTACTCGACCGTTGAAAGTTTCCAGGTAGTCCTGCAAAGATGACAGGCAGAGCTTCGCACTGAAGCGCCACCGGCGTCGTGCTCTCCGAGGCGCGCAAAACAACGAACCCACCGAAATCACGAACGAATGCTGGTCTCTCTCAAGTGTTGCATGCATCGAACATCATCGAACCTCGTGGTGGCGGGTGTGCTGTGGGGTCCTACAGAGTGAATGGCCTTTCCAAAGCGGAGCTAGGCTGACATCGTCAATGCAATGGCCACCGCCTTGCAACGAGCTGCAAGGGAGCATCTCGTTCTAGATGAATTGGAGCCTAAGCCTTGTCCTCGAAAGACTTGGGACTGGGCGGGAGCCTGCCATGTCAGCTTTGCAGCCGCTGGGGCGTGAATGACCACAAACTTAGCCGACTACTGGTGCTAACAGTTCGCTTCGTAGAACCAGGACGACAGAGTGAGTAGAAAAAACAGTCTTCCTCGCCACATCGTCGCATGAAAGGACAGCATGGGACAGCCGCAGATTAAGGGTAGATCCTGTGCGAAGACCCTGGTACTTCTGCAACCTGCCAACCTGAATCACAAGCTCTTCTCAACCCGACCGACAATCTGCGATCCCGATTGAGTCTGGCTTGAAGCTTGCCAAGACTATTTCACAGCACTATGCCCCACTGCGAAATCCACATCTCCTCGCCGTACCACTTCTGCAGAGACTTGTAGACAAGCTCGCGGTCACATGGAATCCTTGATCCCCAGCTTCGGGTTCGTGCTCGGAGCCGCGGCTTCAGGGTCCCAACTCGGAAATCCCAAAAGGCGCGAAACTCTGAACTGGCCGGTTTCGGTAACACGCAGTTGGTCAAAGGGGGCTTTGGGGCACAGGCACTGCATCCGCAGGACCGCTGGAAGTATCAAATGAATCCCAAAAAAGAGGGACTGTAGCTTCCGGTCTGTGAGGCTCTAAGCGATGCCGAGTCTCTTCTCCCCTGTTTGGGGATGCCGATGCCCGTGTGTGCAGCAGAAGCAGTCCGCTTCCTTTCTGTGGGCTGAGGTCTTTGAATTGCGAGTTGCCATACTGCCATACTGCATAACAGCCATAGGACTGACCAAAGCCCCTGAAGACAAACTTGTTGAAGGAAACATCCCTTGCAGCAGGGTAGCTTTTCTAGATTGTAACTATTCATATCTTTGGTTTCAGGTCCGGGCGTGGGCCGAGCCCTCCCTGTGTTCGTCTCGCAGGCTCAAAGCACATCGAGAACTCTGAATCCTCTGAAGCGAGAGTCTTGCACACGAAAATTCCGAAGCTGCACGGGGAGCTTCTCAATGTCACCGATCCTGGAGCACACGGAGGGTTTGGGTTTTAAGGTGTCCATGCTTCGGCTTCGGACGTGCGGCTTTAGTTCTTGGTGTTGAGCTGGAAGACTTCTCAGCGAGACACAGCATCTCCTGCTAACTAATGCCTGCCCAGATGCATCCCCATTTCAAGGTACAGGACCACAGGGCCCATGACAACCTTGCCCAAAGCAAGGCCAAGGGAAACGCTTCCAAGATCCAGACGAAAACGCGACTGAATCGGCGCCAGGCAGCCCAAAGCCCGAACATCATCGCAGCCACTATGGCGCCGGCGCCATACACCTCTGGCCTGGTGTGACACCGGAAACTCGGCGTCACGGGTCCTAATAATTGGAATGGGGTGTTGCGGCCCATTATACCATAATTAAAATGAGGAACCCCCATCATAGTATTACTTGGGCCCCTGCATTAGATTGAACGTCCCCCCGAACCGGACCTGATCTGCCGAAAGATGGCATAGCAGCATACGAGCACATGCCAGGAAGCCGAGTAGATCAGAAAAATCAGCGCTGTTTTCCTCGGGTTCACGGAAGGTCGCCGCCAAGGCCCACCCGCAAACCCTTGAATGCAACATCCATGTGTGGGTTAGAAGCACGGGTTGGCTTGGAGCCCTATAATCCATATACTAAGCACGCCGAGTTTCAACGGCATGAAGCGGATCTGCTTCCGCCGTTCTGGATCTTTCATGAAGGTGGCAATCTCGAATGTACACCAAAGACGAGAAAAGTACCTGCGAAATCGATTTTTTGCTGTTCATTCCGTCATCCTTTTGTCGCAGTCGTTGCCGTCGTCGTTGGTGGTGGTAGTGGCGGCGGTGTGCGTGGCGGGATCCTGGATCACTTGCTTTTCGTGTCGCTTGTGGCCTTTTTCTGGTGTCGCCTGTGTCTTTATTTCTGGCGTCGCTTGTGTCTTTTTGCCTCTTTCGTGCAACAGTCTCGATCGAAAGCCCTCTTGTTCCGGCCTTTCCGATTCGGGTGCGGCGGTGGGCAGGGTATGGCCGGGTCATTCCGCAAGGTTCTCAGCTTCCTGTTCACGGTTTGCGGGTTCTGGTTGACATGGCTGCCGGTAAACGGTTTTGGTGTTGGATCTACGGTCTATACCGTCTCGGGCTTGCATTGCTCAGGTAAGTTTTTCGGCTTCCGGCTACGCCTTGGGTTGGTGTCACTCCCTAGCGTTTTGGTGTTTCTGGATTCTGGGCTGGGCCTGCGATTTCCGCTTCAAGCCTGCTGTTTGAGGCAAGCACAACGGTTTTGACTTCGGAAAAAAAGGAATCGGCCTTTCTTTCTTCGATTTCATCTGCGGGCTCCCACCCCCAAACAGGATCAGGTTCAAAAGGTGCCTTACATCCGCCCAAAAACCTGCTTGTGCCGTGGCATGTGTTTCGCTGCGGCACTGCGTGATAGTTCAACACGCATTGGGCCTGGTAACGTGTCAGAATGGACGATGTGAATGCTTGCAGCAGCAGCAGCAGCAGCAGCAGCAGCAGCAGGGACAAAACAGGCAACCGCGGCAAAAACGAGTGCCACCAACGGGCAGCACATTGCGGAACATTGCAGCGAGCGCGAGTGACATTAATGTTGGAGCTTGCACCCACACAAGTTCTGGAGTGCTGGCCGTAGCTGTCCGTGGCCGAATTGGCGCATACACATCCACGTGTTCACTGCGGCGCAACCAAGTGTGCGTTTGCTGCCTTGTCCGGACAAAAACAGACCGAGACTGCGCCAATATGTGCTCGAACATCAACTCATTATCCCGTTAACGCGGGATGGCAGTCTGGCAGTTGTGCATTGGGAAACTTCACGCAGCGCCGGATGTCGTCTGCAGACTGTGCTCGAAGCTGGTGGAGCACGCACTGCAGAACGCTCATCCCGCGATCTATGCGGAAGAAGTGCTCCGAATCGGTCGACTCATCCATGCCATGTCCACTGTCTTGGCAATAGTCACCGATGAGCATAGCTTCGCAGTAGTGTGCCAAGTGCGTCTCGAAGGAACACAGGATCATGGCCAGCTCTGCGCCACGCTTGTTTCGTCCGTCACCGGCACTGCGGCATTCTGTTCAAATCTATGTTGTTGAGCTGAAGTTTTGACGGGGTCTGGGGCAAGATTTTGTCATGTAGACTTTACTTCCAGGATGCGGGGACTTCGCAGGTGGATTCCGTGTACCTGACGTCGGGCTATGTCGATCAAGATTTGGGCTTGTGCCCTGTCAAATCTTCGTTTTGCCAGATGCTGAATGTATACTGAAAATCCTGAAGATCGGTGCTCTGTCGATTTATGAAGCATTCGCTTGCGGGAATCCATCGAACCGACAAGCCAGGAGCCGTTCACTTGTGTTGCCCCACAGCACTCTGGAGCCGACGGGCCGAGGGTCTCCTGTTTCAGGTCGTATCAGGGGGCCTCTCGTTCAAGACTGTTGCTCCTGACCAATAGAAAACAGAGAAAGTGACACACAGAAAGGACACACAAGCGAAAGGAACACAACTGATACCGCTTCCTACTTGGCGGGTGCTGTTGGTGCACTTGATTCTGTTGTTGTTGCCGTCACGGTTGCTGTTGCTTCATGTGAATCTGTTGTTGCAGTTCTTCTTCTTCTTCTTGCTTCTGTTCCTGCCCCTGTTCTTGTTCTTGCTACTGTCCTTGTTGTTGTGTGGCTGTTGCTGTTGCCGCTGCAGTTGCAGTTGCAGTTGCAGTTG